TGGGCTGACCACTATATTCTTGGCTTTTTACACCTTCTGCAGAGCAGCTTCACTCAGATGATCAGGGCTTAAGTGCCCTCTTGAAGAGCAAATTGAGCGTATCTCTTGCATGAGAAGAGTACACACTTAATGCTCTATGTGCCTTGTTGCCTACAATTGAAAACCTGCAGTAAGTACAAATACGACTAGAAGGTATGATAGAGGATAAAGACAATATATTGAGATTCTGACCAACCTGCCAGAACAATAATAGTACAGATAACAGGTGCAAGCCCTGAAGTAATCAAAGCAACTGGAAGTAAAGGCGAAAGGATAAGAAGGACTTAACCCACACCAGAAAGCCAGGCCAGAGACGCCTAATTGATTTTCCATTCAGTCTACGACTACACAGTGATCTGGTGTCAAAAGCAGTTTCCATGTCCTTGGGCAAGATACTGAACCCCAAATTGCCACCGGTGTGTGAGTGCTGGCTTGTTATGTAAAGCGCGTCAGGGAAGCGGTCGTCGGGAATAGAAAAGCACTATTAAAATAAAGTTTTTTCACCATATACAAATATTCAGCCTTGTGAGTCCCAGATATGGCCAGACAGCTTTAAAACGTTTAGCTGGTAGGGGATCGAGGGAGCAGGTACTTGGTTTAGAGGCCAACACCAGGAAAGGTGGTTCACACATTCAGGGAAAGAGAACTTGTAAGTAATACGTCGGTGGAGGGAGACAGTCTCAATAACTAAAAAATGTTTAGATTACTGTTTTATCAGATGGTAAACAGAACAGATTATGGAACATGTGTCTGAGAGGACGTCTGATAAAGATAAAGAGAGAAAGGAATCAGGGTTAGTCATGCTGATCACAGGTGCCCTTCAAAATGTCAGCGCGCTCCGAGTGATTAGAAAGGCTGCGGATAAAGACAACAGCAAAGAATACACCCCGATGAAAGGAGGAGTGGTGGAGGAACACAAGGACAATGGATGCAAGTTCTGGTAGAAAGATGCAGCAAGGAAAACGAGAGAGGTGTGGAGGAGACTGGAAGGAGATAAACAAGAGCAAAAGTGATACTTGGGATGCTAATTTTTTAATAGCAGACCCTTGTTAACCAATCGTTAACCTTTGAGCGACAAGATTAGCGTCTTGCGTGCAGGGGTGCTGTGGTTGAAGTGCCTAGCAAGCTGCCCAGCTGCAATGATGCACAAATAGGTTAAATCCATTCGTTGCCAGCTGCATTGTGCGCGCAAAACAGGCAACTGATGTCCCCAGTTCATCTGTCAGGGACAGTTAGCAGCCACGATGTTGAGTGCATTTTCATGGACACATTCAGCCACTTTAACCGTGAGTCTCCACCGCATCAATCAGTTTAGCTGTGAAGTTGTCAGTTGTGTGTCTGCCTGGTATCGGGGTTTCTGCCAGCATATTGCAGGATTGCAAGCCGGGCGTAACGTTAGCGAGCGTCTGGTCGAGAAAGAAAGCATGTGTGATGATTAGTATGAAGTTAGCAGTAACGTTACAGCTGTGAATGTAGCAGTGCGGTGTGTGTACAGTTTATTTGTTGTGAATAAATGCTACAACTCCTCAAGCCAAATTTCCTTCTCTTGCTTGTCAGCCACCTGCAACCCAAGCCCCCAGGAAGAGTGACGGTGCTTTGAAGCAAATTTTACACCAAACGGTGGAATTACAATTTCCGCGTATCTTGGTGTCATGAGGCCCAAAAATCATGTTGCTTACATTCAGCAAGAGACGTCTGTAAACATAGTGGATCCTTTTTTTTTTTTAGGTAAATCAACTTCCCAGTACAAACACTTATTTAAATAATTAGGTCCTAAAAGTTATAAAATGCAGTGATAGCCGAATCCAGAGTTTTCCTTCCTTCGTTAATGTGAATGAGCTCGATAACGAGGCTGGACCGAGGCCTAGGAGGCGGGGTTAAAGAAACTGCAACCTGCTGATTAAAGTGAAGGGTTTTGTTTGCCCCAAAGTGAGTAACAACTCCGACTGAGGTACAGTCAAGCTGGGCTGACCTTAAAGGTGGACCAGCTAAATTGTGATTATTCATACTGTTCCATACTCACAGACTGGAGGACGATACGTCCTGCTTCAGATGAGTGCATTGCTGTCACAAATAATGAATGACAGTAATGTAATGAGTAGAGTGGATATGGGATCTATGAGATTATTTATGCAATTCAATAAATATAATTAAATAAAAATAAGAAATATAAACCATTACCATAATGGCCCTTCACATTGTCCTGTCATGCAGTTTTTTTTGGTTCTGTCTCTTTGACAGGGGGGGATTTGACGTCTCCCGTATTAAAAATGCACTCTGTTATGGTATTTTCAACTTATTTCAGATAAAAACTGTGTGATGAAATAACATTGCAGTTTTAATTCAAAATGTAGAGACATGCTTCAGTTTTGAAGTAATTGAAGGATTACATTTTCTAATTCTCCTTGCTGGGGAGGTTCAGTGACTCTTAAAATCCCCCTTGAATGAGCTCTAAAAGTACCGTGTTCAATTAAAAAACAAGACTTTTTTTTCAGTTCCCAAAACGCATTGCGTGACAGCAACACAATGGAAGTGATTTAGCAAATAAAAAACTAAAATGGTAAAAAAAAAA